AACAGACTTTGCAACGAGGACTTGTTTGGTCTGTGTACGATGGCGCAAAACCGAACCATTGCCGTGTTGTTTCTGAATCCACTAGAGTGTTTTTGCAAATTTACCCATGAAGAATGGTGCATCACATTAGTTCTGCTTTTGGCGCTCGCATGTAAAATAAGTAATAAGATCAATTTTCATAAAAACACATCGTCCTGAACTGTAAATTTGAATTAATTGATAATCGATTTATCGCCCTCCTCTACCTGACAGTCACTAAATGTTAGCTGATTTCTTAAACTGTTACTTATACAGTTGAAAAATACTTTAATTCAAATTTACTCACCTACATTACATTTGTTTTTAAGTTATTTGCAGTTGGCGACATGATCGCTTTTGTCGCCTTTGATTTTCCCGCAACCCATCCTGAAAACTGTACATTAATATGTAAATAATTGCTTCGCCTTGTGTTTGTTGTTCTGCCTTCCATTTCTGGCTTAATAGCCTACTTTAGGAAAGTAATTCTGTACATGTGCGAGGCACTATCCATGTTTTTTTTTGTAATAACTTTGTGTTACCTTGTACTTCAGTATTTTTTCATTTTTCAGCCAGCTACTGCAATTGTAATGTTGTGCTTTGAAAAGTTGTCGCAAAATACTAATACTTAGTATTTTAAGTGCAGTATTACTTGGCTTAAATACTTGAAGTCTACATGCTGCTGTTCATGTTTTGTAATGTTTATAGTAGTTTATTACTTAAAGACTATGCTACTGTTTTTGTAATGTGCAAGTGTTTATGAAGGGGTGTATGTTGAGGCACATGGAATTTTATCGCGGTATTGTGTTTGGTATCTAGAATCGTGGAATTTCTCTGTTTGTATCAACTGCTAAATTTCTGGTATCATGGCATCCTTACTTTCCAGTTACTTTTTCGAAGGCATTGCGATTTTTTAAATTCCTGAATTAACACCTAAAGTAATACCTCAAATGAAGGTGGAGACTCTAAATAACCTGGTTATATTCTACATATTTTTTGGAAAAATCTCTGGTTTGTTCCACCTCTAAACTTCCGTCCCATAACTGTTGGTCTATAACTGCGTGTGGTGTGGTGGTGCGGCTCTGCAAACCGATGACTTTGATTTGATTGAGGGGGGGGGGCACTGTCCCAGGATGCTCTGACAACATCCTTTCTGGTTGTGCTTGAGTCTGCTCTCAGCTTGGATCCAGCTTACTGAAATGAAGTCATACGACTCATGCCGGCTTATACCTGTTGAGAACTACTGCAAGTCCAGCATTTGTTTCAGAGTAATCCTGGTTTCCTGCCTGTCTCTCCCTAGATTACTGCTGGTTACGTCCATCTGTTCTCTTATGCTGAATAAACGTTTAGGTTTTGCGCTGATTGTGCTTGTGTAGTTTGTAAAATCAGGCAGTCCTGAATTATTAGGTCCTTGTAAACACTTGGCCTGTCACTTGTTCATTACCCCTCCAGCAGCCAGGCTTTCCCTGTAACGTGTCAGTTGTGGCAACTCACTGGCTCCAACAATAGTGGCACGAGAATCCACACAACTTTATTATTTTTTTTAATTTTTACAATCTGATGAAATGTGTCTGCCTCTTGCTCTCCCGCCCAGAGACCAGCCGCGTGGACTATGTGCTGTTCCAGGCAGCAACCGCCATCATGGAGGCTGTCGTGCGAGAGTGGATTCTGCTGGAGAAGTCCAGCATAGAATCCCTCAGAACATTCCTCCTCACCTATGTCTTACAGCGGCCGAAGTGAGTTCCTTTCTGGGACTTGGTGTCTTCATGGGTCCTGCTGTCACCTTTGGGCCTGCTTTTTTCCATAATTATAGTATACAGCTAAGGAAAAAATGTAGAGACCACAGCAACATTTTTAGCTTCACTTATTTCTCAATTTATGGGTATGAATCTGTGTAAAAGCTTCTTCCTTGTTTTATGGGACTTCAGTCCTGCTTCGAGGAGCCTGTCACGAACCAGTCCTAGCAGTGCACACCACTAAATATTTCCCTTTCCTCTTGATGGTCATCATTCATAAGGCACTGTTGGATAAGTTGATGGTCGTTTCTGGAATTAAAGTAATTTCTGCCCTCTACCTGGCTAGTTTTTGGTTGTTCCCAGTGCCTCCTGCTTCACCTTATTCTTGTGCACTGTAGTCTTAGAAAGTTTGAGCCTGGAAGCATAGCCTTCTGCCAGCAGAACCAGGATTAAACCAGGATTTAACAATGCAGATTCTTAAATATGTTGTTCTCTTAATTTTTTAGAGCTGTATTTGTGAATCAAGTCATCATTACCTTAAAATCTATGACAACTATCATAAAAAATTGCAAGCATGAGTCTGAGCTACAGTGTTGAAGTCCTGAGCCACTGTTAAAGGTGGAACTAATATCAACGTGCTGGGTTGGTGTTCGGCTGGTATGTCAGTGTTCGCACAGGAAGCTTTACATTAAGTAAAGCTTGACAGGAGCTGACATCTTTTCTTGCTTCCTGTTTTAATGTCCTCCTACTCTTCTCCCCATTCATTGCGGCTCTCAGCCTTCAAAAATACGTGAGGGAGCAGATTCTCTTGGCAGTGGCTGTTATTGTGAAGCGTGGCTCCCTGGACAAGTCCATCGACTGCAAGGGCATCTTCCATGAAGTTAACCAGCTTATCAGCAGCGGGAACCACACTGTGGTAAGGAACGCTGGGGTGGGACGCAGACACAGCAGAACCACACTGGGGTGAGGAACGCTGGGGTGGGACGCAGACACACAGCAGAACCACACTGGGGTGAGGAACGCTGGCTGGGGTCAGATGCGGACACGGTAGAACCTCCTTGGGGTAAGGAATGCTGGGCTCAGAAGCGGCCATAACGCAGAACCACACTGTAGTCATAGGAATTTTGGGCTTGAACATAGCAGGACTGCTGTAGAGGTCATTACTGTTCCTGAGTTCTTGTTCAATTGAACAAGTTTTAACAAAACTGAGAATAATTTCATTGTTTGTCAGAGAAGCTTAATGATGACTTGTTTGTGTTTGGTTGCTTCATCTGTCTGTTGCACTGCTTCCCCATGAGATGGCGCTTGGTATCCATTTCAAATTAGAGCCTCGTAATGGCATAACTCCTACGACACTATGCAGAGTATGGCTTAGTTAAAATTATTGGCACCTCAGATTTTATTTGCAATATACCATTCTGAAGGTGACATAAGATGTGATTCTGCTGTGTGTTGGCGGTAGATTTTGTATATGCCTGCATTAAATTTTGTATTTGTGCCAGAATTCTGACAGTGACAGCAAAATTGGTAAATTGGAAGAAGACTGTAGTATTGACAAGTGGCTCCAAACATTTTCCCGATGAATTTATGCTTGAGGACAGACCTGGGGTTTCGCTCAGTGTGATGGCCATGAATCGGGGGCCGGCTGGTGACAGCTGAACTTCGCGTTTGATGGAAGTGGGCTATCCCTACTGTGCGCTTGCTGTAATTTGTGGCATGCGGTGTGTAACCTCATGCTCACACACACACAGGCTGGCTGCCCTCCTTTCAAGTGACCGCTGGACTCATGACTTTGGCTCTGGGTATCTCCCTTACTCCTGTATTTAAGCTTTGAAATTCTCTGCCATGGTCACAGTGTTAATTGGAGTTTCCTTAAAGTTGCAGTATCAGAGAGAGATTATAATAAAGTACTTTGTGCTTGATCTCTCAGAGGAAGTTTGAGAAACTCAAAAGTAAATGTGGGAATCTATAGAATGTTTGATTGTGAGGCATTCCAGAGGATCTGGAAGCTTCTCTCTCAGGTGACAGCAGTATTTGAACTGGTTATTCTTTGCTTATAAATCCTGTCCTTAACCAGTCCCGTGCTCGGTACCTACTGGAGGTGACTGGGGCGATATTTCACATTTGAGTCTTGCATGACCATCTCAGCTCTCTGAAGGCAATTTTGTGATTGGGCACCTTTTGAAATACCCCGTCCCCAGCCTTCACTGAGGAGCCCTTTTTTTTGCTTTAACTCCACAGCAAACGTTGGCCTGCTCCATCTTGACGGCCCTCCTCAGCGAGTTCTCCAGCTCAAGTAAGACCAGCAACATCGGCCTCAGTATGGAGTTCCATGGCAGCTGTAAGCGCCTTTTCCAGGTGAGAATCCCCCCTTATTTTCCAGGGCCCCCCTTTTCTTTCATGTTTCTCGGTACTCTAGTAAGGCTCTGCTCATTTTCTCCCTGTGGCTGTTGCCCCTTCTAGGAAGACGGCCTGAAGCAGATATTCATGATCACTATGGAAGTGCTTCAGGAGTTCAGCCGCAGAGAGAACCTCAATGCCCAGATGTCCTCGGTCTTCCAGCGCTACCTGGCCCTGGCCAACCAGGTGCTTAGCTGGAACTTTCTTCCACCCAACCATATCCTTCTGCCTGGGGCGTTGTCGCAGAAAGGTGGGCGAGAGTGGTGACCCCAGCATGATTGGCTGGTTAGGTGATAGGGGTTCTGTAGAGTGTTTAATGTTGAGCCATTTCTTTAATGTGGGTGAATGTTTGGACCTGGCTCTGGGTTGTGGACGGAGTTTTAAGGTTTTAGTGGGGGAGACCTCAGGAATGGCAGGCGTGTGCAACGACATCTCACTTTTCTGAGGTCGGGGAGCTTGATGTCCTCCCGGGGGACTTCCTGGTGGCCTCTCTGCTCTTGCCAGTCAGGAAGATGGCCCCCTGACTCCCCCGCTTGCTTTGTTAGTCTCACGGCAGAGCCGAGGAGAGACACATGGGCCAGCTGCCTGCTCGCCGTGTCAGACCCCATGTGGGTGACTGGAGCCACCCCTCCCCTCCCCGCCCTGTCTCTGAAACCAGAGGAGCCTTTTAAGGGGGCGACAGAAGTGGGTAACATTCCTGAAATGTTATTTCACTTGTTGTGCTGGGGGGCCTTGCTATCTGTTGATCATTGCCCATAGCCTATGTGTGTGTGTAACACACAGCCAGAATCTGCTATGCAAATGTGTTTGTGCCATGGTCCGTACACGTGTCCCCTGTCTTGTGTGACTGGGAGGGTCCTGGGAGCCAGGTTCAGGACCAGTCTGATTATCATCTTTTATAACGCATGTAATAATGCACTGCCGCCCAGTCTTGTGAAGTGCCCCGTGGTGTCACTCGTGGAAGACGCTATGTAAAAATCAGTTTAATTGAATGATCACTTGGGGGACAGTCTGTGTAGCTGTCCTGTAAATCTTCCTGTGAGGCCTCCTTTCACCAAAATCCATCTGAGGCACGCTGTAGAGCCCCTGAGTGTTAACAGGGCTCAGGCCGGCCCCAGAGAAGCGTCTGGACAGGGAGTGGCTGGGATTGAGGTTGTGGGAGGTGTCAGAAGGGGGGAGGGGTCGGTGAAGTTGAAGTAAGACGCCTGTGAGGTTTGGGTGATGGACAGAGGGGGCTATAAAGGACAGCGTGCCGTGCCTCTGCTCTGCACTGGAGATGCTGCTGTTAGCCTTCATTCCTGCTGCACTCGGTCGGCACTACATCGCCATGTTCGAGTCCACCCAGAACGTCACCCTGAAGCCACCCGAGTCCTGGAGGGAGGCGCTGCTGGACACGCGTGTCATGGACCTCTTCCTCACTGTGAGTCTCCCCCCACCCCCATATAATCTAGCCCTCACACGCCATCTTGCACTGCTTCTGCTCCTCCCTTTTCTGCCTTGTCAATATTCTTGTTTGCCTAGTTATTGGGGGACTATTATGCTGTGAGTTTCTTATTTTCGTAATGATGCTGGGTAAACCCCCCCAGGGGATCAGTTTGCTCTTTCTTTTCCTTGAACTTCCTCTTTAGTTGCTTCCTGCTCTCCTCCTGACTCTCATCCTCCTCCTTCCTGCTCTCTTTCTCTCCCTTCCCTTTTTCCTCCTTTCTCCCTTTTCATTTCTTCTTGCTCGCCCTGTGATCTGTTTTCTCCAGGCCTATTGAATATGTAACTATGTAACATACAGATAAGTTATCAAGTCAGGACAATCAGTGGTGCTGTACATGAGCACACTTGTTATTTCAGTGTTAGCCTACTAGTAAACTCTAAGCAGTATGGTTTTCTGTGCTGAGATGTCCCATCAAGAGTAGCAGTAAGGCACAACCCTGGCAAAGGGATATGAGTACATTGTAGGTGTCTCAAAATGCCACGGAACTGGATGGTCATGCGTGTCAGGCTGAAAATTGGCACAAGTGCTGATGCCAGGCAGTACTCCAGGAGATCGCAGTAAGGTTGAGGTCCGAACGTGCCTTCGTCTTTCTGAGCCATCTCGCTTTGTTGTCCCCTGCAAGCCACATTCCCCCATTGCGGCCCCACCCCCAGTCCCTGAGACATGCCCCTGACACGCGCCACTGGAGTCAGGGTCACAGTGGACCCATAGAGGGATTAGAGCCTGACCCCAGGATTAAGGGGACGCCGCCCCAACATGCCTGGCTCGTGCCTCCCTGTTCACCCCTGTGGCGGCCCGCAGGGTCTCGGCCTTCTCCTTTTAACATGTCATCTGAGAGGCTTGTATCGTCAAGGCCGTGGTGTGTTCATTTGGGCTACCCATCCCCACCTCTCGTTTTAAGACACTCTCTCCCAGGCTTTCTGACTGAATTGGCCAAGGCTGAGATCAGAGTGTTTGAAACTGAGATAGCAAGGAGTCCTGGCATAACTTTAAGTAACAGTTGTTTACTTAAGGTTTCAGCAACCAAAGTATTGAATTGAGTTGCTGAGCAAACGTTGTCGCGACTGGAAACCGGATCCGTTCCTTGTTCCCCTGCGGTTTGGCATCTCGTGGCCATAACTGGATCACAGCTTCCCGAGTATTGATTTTCTCGCCACGTCACGGCTCCCCTGCGTAACACTTGGCGGCGGTAGTCACAAGAGGACTTTCATTGGGTGCCAGGCCACTCTGTTGTACTGTAATGGACAGCACCAGCTTGTGCGTGGCTTCCATTAGGTCTGTTCCGGTGTTTGTTCGACCTGCAATTCTGGAAGTGACAGGTGTGTTTTTCAGAGGGTGGGAGTAATGCTCACATGCTTTGTTTGTTGTTCCTATAAATACTCCCTATTCTGTGCGGAGGCTTCTCGGCTAGTTGTTTTGATTTGTGCCCCCCCTTTTCTAATTAAAGCTTGGGTTCGGCATGCTTGGAGTACTGCGGCTGGCTGTCATTACGGCCGATTTTAGAACGCGTGCAGCCGCCTGGCCGGCCGGCCGGCTGACATCTGGCATGGCTTTCCACGCCCCCAGCCCTGACAGCCCTCACACTTTCCAGAGGAAAGATTTAGCACACTGCCGAGAGCAGCTCTCCCAGACTGCGGCCCTGTTGCCCGCACCGTACGTGGTGTCCTTGGAGACAGTTGCCGAGGCGTGTTGGGTGCTCATGCCCGGGTGCATACTGGCATCTGAGGTGAGTGGGACGCTAGTCCTTATTCGGGAACGGTCACACAGACAGACTGCTGGACCTCCTGTGAGCTGGAGGGTTTGCGGGGCCCGTTGTCCAGCCGTAGTGCATTGGTACAGCAGCAGGACGAAGGGGGCCAACTCACCTGCCCCACCCACCCCAAAGCCAAGGTGCTGGAGGAGCTGCACGCGGTCCTCACAAGGTGAGCTCACTTGTCAGGGATTAGCACCACATGGACAAGTCAGCGCTGACTGCCCTAGGGCCCAGCTGCCGGTGCGCAGAGCCCGCTCGCGTCTGTAGCCCCGTGGAATTGCCTGCTGTTCGTTTGATCACTCTTTAATTCTCAAGAGAAATTGGTGGACCTGAGCAGCTGGTGTAGAGGGTGTCTGTGTTCTGCCCCACTTGCCCTCATAAGCCCTTGCTTGTTCTCAGCCAAGTGAAGACGTTCATGCCTGTCTTGTGTTCTGAACAGGGGAAATTGTTTACTATATATTTCCATATTTTATGGACCAATATGATGTCTTCATCTTAATTTTACCTGGGCAGGGTTAGGTATATGGAATGGGCCAGGATTGATGGGGTTTTTGAGGCAGAGGCTTCAGGTTGGGCCAGGTGAGGTTTAGGGGGTGAACCAGGTTTGATAAGGTGTTTGGACCGGGTGTGACTGGTGTCCTTGGCTGTCTTATCAGGTGCACAGGAAGATCCGCGAGGACTCGGACATGGCACAAGACTCTCTGCAGTGCCTGGCCCAGCTGGCCTCCATGCACGGACCCATCTTCCCCGACGAGAGTGCACAGGTGTCTTACTTAGCCCACATGGTGGAGGGCCTGCTGAATATGATCAATGGGTGAGTGTAGTGATAACCTCTAACACTCCCCCCACTTCCAAAAAATGTGTGGTGGTTGTAACTGGTTAAATGGATGAGTACAAGCATGTTCTAGGTAAACAAGGAAGAGCTGTAGAAGAACTGTGTATGCTTCAGGGGATTGTGTGTGTGTGTGTGTGTGTGTGTGTGTGTGTGTGTGTGTGTGTGTGTGTGTGGATCAAGCAGTGAGATCACTGCATGAGAGTCACCAGAAGACGTAAGGGTTTTGTCTGAGCGGAACTGGGAGAGGGCCTATATCAGACACGAGGGTACAGGAGTATTGCAAAGCCTTTTCTCTGAAGTATAAATAGCCCCCCCCCCACCCCCCTCAATAGCCCCCATTTGGAATGTGTGACTCAGGCACAGGAATGAGTTTTGGGAGGGGGGTGTTGTGGGGAGAGGCTGTCCTGCTACGATGGTGCCTATTTCAGGGACTTTTTCCAGTTGCATCACTGTGGCTCAAAGCAGTGGCCTAAGACCTGCTAACCCAAAGGGCACCTAAAGCAGCGGCCTAATACCTGCTAACCCAAAGGGCACCTAAAGCAGCGGCCTAAGACCTGCTAACCCAAAGGGCACCTAAAGCAGCGGCCTAAGACCTGCTAACCCAAAGGGCACCTAAAGCAGCGGCCTAAGACTCACTATCCACTGAGTGCCTAAAGCAGTGGCCTCAGTCCAACTTCCCAAGGGGCATCTAACACACATTACACCTGCTACCCAAGAGGCACCTAAAGCAGTCACTTTAAATCCTCTATCCTCTAGAATCCTACTGGACAGGAGTCTTGCACATTTTAACACCAGACTAACAGCTAAAGTACCTGATGATGAGATTTACGGTCCATCTATGTACTCTTTAATCAAGAGGCTGACCCTGGTTTCATTTTGAATTGAAATGATTACTTGCATATGGATTCCCCCCTCTAATGCATCCTAGTCATTTACTTGCCTGCCTAAACAATAAAGACGCTCTTCATTTGTCCTGAGATGGTGCTTGATGCTGATGGCTGTGATTACATTCCCCTAACCCCAGGATTGAGATTGAAGATTCTGAGGCCGTGGGAATCTCCAACATAATCAGTAACTTGATCACCACATTCCCCCGGAGGAACCTGACCGCCCTTCCCAGCGAGCTGTTCTCCTCCTTTGTCAACTGCCTGACGCACCTCACCTGCTCCTTCGGAAGCAGTGCTGCCCTCGAGGAAGTGGTGAGCATTGTAGTTTCTTGCAGAGCTGCTGCTTACATCAGCATGAAACTGGGCACATATTCAAAGTATTTGTTCTGTAATTGCCCCATTAAAACACTTATATATGGTGGTCTTATGGCTGACACACAAGTAGGTGTAGTGTAGGGATGGGCATTTCGGGCAGAATTCCTTGTTGAATTTTGCCTGTCGGTATTTAAATAATATGCGATTAACCCTGTCTCCATCCCCATCGTGCACATGGAGAAATGTGCATGCAGTAAAGCTCAAAGTATTTTTCTTTCCTTCCAAAATGATATTCATTGCTGCAAAAGGATAGAACATTAAGTAGCTTCAATAAATTAAATTAAACTGAAGAAAGAGGGCAAGTGCAGTAGCAGACAATAACATTTAACATCCTGTGCTTTGGGCAGTTAAGGTGAATGGATTTTTTTTTTTTTTTACCAATTCAGTCTTATCAATACTTCTGGTTTATAGGTCACTACCTTAATTTCCTTACAAAATGAGACATCATACTGCAAAAGGATAACTTAAAACATTAAAAATATCCTTGAAACTAGGGCTGAATGATATTCAATGTGAAAAATTCACATTATGAAATAATAAATTTTTCCGATAAATAGTTGAAAATGTACCCTAAATAAACTGTAGCCAAACATATCTTTAAGGAATAATTTTTTTTATATTTTTGTAAAGATTGGAGGAGATAAAGCATGTTTAGTTTGAGCTGGATACAGCGAAAGCCCGCATGAAAGCAGAGGAGCGTTTGGGTGAGCCGTAAGCTTGGGCTGGGATAGGACGAGCGTCTTAACAAGGCCGTATGTCTGCAGCTGGACAAGGATGACATGGTGTACATGGAGGCCTATGACAAGCTGCTGGAGTCATGGCTGACACTGGTGCGGGACGAGGAGCATTTCCCGCGCGGCTGCTTTGTTCAGCCCGCCGTGCAGGTCTTTAACTCATACATACAGTGCCACCTGGCAGCCCCCGACGGCACCCGCAACCTGGTGAGGCCCGCCTGTCGCTTCTTTGAATGCCATTGCTCACCTGTTCTATTCTCCATCATGACCCATCCTTCATCCTTATTCCGCCCTTTTGCTTGTGCAAGTGTCCTCCTCTATCAAAGGTTCATTCATTTATTTGCCATGAATCCATTCATGCTGAAAACCGTTCTGCTGTGGACACTGATGCATGCTGATTTGTTGAGTGCCTTGTCACCTTTCTGTCTCATTAAGTCCTCTCCTTCTTTACCTCAGACAGCAAATGGAGTGGTGTCTCATGACGAGGACGAGATTAACGAGCTACAGGAGGATGACCGGGAGCTGTTCTCGGATCAGCTGGCTAGTATAGGCATGCTGGGGCGAATAGCGGCTGACCACTGCATCCCACTGCTCACCAGGTGTGGCAGCAATGATCTCGGCCACCCGGCCTACATGTGCATGCATACCGTCAGCTTGATGGTTATGGTGATGCCCAGCTCTTCACTGCCAACTTCTGTCAGCATGTACATGTATATGGGCTGTGGGCTTAATGCAATTTGGGTTTGACCTATTTTTTTTGCCCACTGTACATGTTGAAGGGTTTGCGCTTGTATCAAGCTTGATTGTCTTTGATACCTATGTTGTGCCTAAACACGAGCCAGACTATCATCTTTTAACCTCTTGCCTTCTTCATCGTCTGTGTCAGCCTGTTGGAGGACCGGGTTACAAGGCTACATGGGCAGCTCCAGCGGCACCAGCAACACCTCCTCTCTGAACCAGACCCTGGGTCACTGGACCGGAAGGTCCTGGATGACCTATATGAAGATATCCACTGGCTGATTCTGGTCACAGGTCAGATAGATGCGTGCTCTCTGGCTAATGCAGGGCACAAGACTGTATTGGGCTTAGTCAGTGGCTAGTTTTGCGTCAAACACACAGGAGCACTGCTTGTACAGTAAATGTCTTCCTAAATGCAACTTTGTGGTGGTGTGGTGTATGTGCTACATAGGCTACCTGTTGGCTGATGACCCTCAAGGTGAGACCCCCCTCATACCCTCAGAAGTGATGGAATACTCCATTAAGCACTCCACAGAGGTGGACATCAACACCACCCTCCAGATCTTGGGCTCACCTGGTGAGAAGGCCTCTTCTATCCCAGGATGCAATAGGACTGACTCAGTAATCAGGTGAGTCATAGCTGCTCAAGGGCTGCAACTGTAGTTATTTCTGGTAGGTATTTGGCATACTTTCTAGCTGTTCTATTGCTTTTGTGTCACTGACACTAGGCTCAATAATAACAGTAAAAGATCCAGGATATCTGAATATCCCATACATACATACATGTATGCATCTCCTGGCACACTGCCCACCATGCCAAGCACGCAGTGGGGAGCTTACAGTGTCCTTGTCTCAGGTGGCAGCTGAAATCCCACCCCAGTTGTTCATTGTTGAATTATAACTCAAGCAGGCAGCACTGAAGCTTGGAGAAATGGGAAGAACTGATGCCTTGCCTTGCAGAAAGCTTGCATAGTTTTGTTCAACAAATGTTTACATGAGGGTGCTGACCAGCTTTATGACCTTCGACTCAGGTTACTGTCGGCAGTGCTCCGAACGTCTGAAGTGGAGTCGCGGGCCACGAGGGCCAGCCTAACAAGCCTACTGAGTCCACAGATGGGCAAGGACATTGTGTGGTTTCTTCGGCGCTGGGCGAAGACCTATCTGCTTGTGGATGACAAACTGTACAGCCAGGTAAGATGGCTGAAGTAGCAGTGATGGGTCCCAGCCTAGATGACATCACAGCTCATGTTTGGTGTAGTGTGTAAAGAGCCAGATGTGGGGTAATGGGTTGCAGGATCTGGTCTATAATGTGCTTCACTTTCTGAGAAAAGGTCAGAATTAGAGTGACTATCCAGCTGAGTAGGCTTGAGTGAAATTGGCAGAGACTTTTGGCGCTTTTCCACCAGCATACCGGAACCAGGCCATACATGACCTGTACATTTCTGGAGACACTAATTACACTTTGGTTCCAGCTTGCTTCGATTTTTGACTGCAGGAAGGGTGGGCTTGGTAGAGGCTTTGCCAAATTTGGAGATTGACAGTGACGTAAAACGAAAGGCACATTTGCTGTTCACACAGTGTACATGATGATTTACTATGTGCTAATTTCCGCTTGCAAGTCTGTGACACTCAGTTTTACGTTGGGATCAAAGGCCTAGCATATTAGTGTTTGCTTGTGTAAATTTGCATTATGAATCCATTTTGTTCAGTTGTTCATCAAGGAGTAAACTGGAAATTGCCAGGTTCCAGGTTATCAGAAATACATGGGTACATCACGATGTGCGATGCTTCAATAATGAATAATATATAGTATGTGCCCTTTTTTCCTCCATATAATTCATGCGCAGAACATCAGTATCTCCGTGCATTTCGACCAATCTGTTTGGTCATGGTTTTGGCCCTGCTAGTAAGAATGCTCATGTCACCGTGGTTACGGCTGTGGTACAGCTTACATAATTTACAATGAGAAATTTCACGGTTCAGCTTTGGTACAGCTCAGGTGGAAAAGCACCAATTGATGTAAGGTGGCCTCTGGTCAGTACATTTTTATAGGCCTGTCATTAGTTGACACTTTTAAACTGTCCTTTTAAACTGATGGTTGTTCTACTGAAGAAGTTCCTGTTAAGCATCTTGCTTGAAGATACCTCCTGAGAATTGAACTTGAATTAGCAGTTCTCTGTTAACCTCTGTGGGAGTACTACTATTTCTTTGTATTGGGATATCTAAATAAATGTACCCCTTGCAGATCAGCATTCCACTCAGCACTGCCTTTGGAGCAGACACTGAAGGTGCCCAATGGATTGTGGGATACCTGCTGGAGAAGGTAATCAACAACTTGTCTGTGTGGAGCTCGGAGCAGGACCTGGCGAAGGACACAGTGGAGCTGCTGGTCACTCTGGTGGAGAGAAGAGAGAGGTAAAGTATAGCGTCTTCACCTGGTGAGAAGTAGTGTCACTAAGGGTGTTTTTCCACCTCACCAGGTACCGTACTTTCGGTACTTTCGGTACTTCCATAAAGTTTTTGGAGTCCACGGTTTTCCACTGGCGTAAAAAATGGTACCTGCGCCAAATGACATCATCAGTGACCGCCCCTGACTGACATCGTCACAACGCGCAGCTTAAATCATAATTAAAAAACAAAAAAAACAGCCCAAAATTAAAACTAACAGTTTAGGCTGGAAAATGTGGTTTATTGTTATGTCATGTTATGTCACCTTCTATCACAATATAAGATTCAGTAATATCCAAATTGCATGAATGCTGCCATCATTTACATTTACGTAGGTACACTTACTTTGGCTAAGCCGATCAAAGCAGTAAGAATTAGCTTACTGTTAATTCAGTCTTTTGAAAGCAAACAAATTATTTAATTATGTTCTTTGATTTTCAAGCGGCATTGATCGGTGTTTCGCGTGTGCCCCATTTCTTCTTGGTATTACGGTGTTCCAGGCAATTCAGTTTCCCTATGTTTCTCCTGTCTATCAGGAAATAATGTTTCCCCTAATATTAAAGCAGAGGTATGTGAAATGTCTGAAAATCACATTATTACATGTGAATACAGTATTGTTATTAGTGCTGAGGCCCAGAGTTGCTGTATACCTGTTTTAACGGGGGGGGGGGGCCCAATGGGTGTAAATTAATTGGACACTAAACGCCCACTACACCACACCTGAAAGACAAATGTTGTGGAATTGATAAAAGCATTTGTCACACAAGCAAAGAGGAATACACTTCAGGTAAGCCCTGTCCTGTGTTCCAGGGCCAACATTGTGATCCAGTGTGAGAGCTGGTGGAATCTGGCAAAGCAGTTTGCCAGTCGCAGACCTCCACTCCACCTCCTGTCCAGCTCTGTGCAACGCACCCTGATGAAGGCACTGGTGCTGGGCGGCTTCGCCCACATGGACTCTGACACTAAGCAGCAGTACTGGAGCGAGGTCAGTGTGGGGTCATCCCACAGTTACAGCACCTTGTGTTTACTTCCTGACCCGCCTTTGAGTATTGGAAATTTAATCCATAATCTATAGGGCTCAACCAAAAAATGCTGATCTCATTTTTCCATAGGATTTGCGTCCTGCATTAAAAGCATCATAGTTCTGTGAGATATGACCGTATTTAAAAGTCTTCTATGTAAAATGTAAAGTGCATTATAAATTAAATTTATTATTATTATTAGTTGTACGCACAGTAATTACTGCACTCTTAAACACATTACATTATGGCTGTATTGAACCTTATGCCTTTGGGAGTTCAGGTGTTACCAGTTTTATGTGAAAAGGAGGCAAAGAATACCTGTTCTCTCCTGTGGCCTGTGAAATTCCTGTTCCCCAATTAACCCTTCTTATCCCCTTCCTCCCCCAGGTCCTTCAGCCGCTGCAACAGCGATTCCTCAATGTCATCAACCAGGAGAACTTCCAGCAGATCTGCCAGGAAGAGGAAGTAAAGCAGGAGATCGTGGCCACTCTGGAGGCATTGTGTGGCATTGCTGAGGCCACGCAGATTGACAATGTAGCGGCCCTGTTCAGCTTCCTGGTGGACTTCTTGTCCAACTGCATTGGCCTCATGGAGGTGTACAGGAACACACCCGAGACTGTTAATCTCATCATTGAGGTGTTTGTGGAAGTGGCACACAAGCAAATCTGCTACCTGGGGGAGGTGAGTGGAATGAGGGTGGAAGCCGGCTTCTGGTTAAATACATATGCATGGCAACCTACACCATGACATTCATGCTACTTACCATGCCGTCCTAGTATCTGATTAACATTAATGATTTAGTTCACACACTGTGAAGTTACTGCTGACGTCACCGTGAGTGACTGCTCTCCCTGCTACAAGCAGCTGTCCTGACCTGCATGTTCTTCCTGCTGTTTACCCTCCCAGTCCAAATCTATGAAGCTCTATGAGGCGTGCCTGACGCTACTACAGGTTTACTCCAAGAACAACCTGGGTCGCCAGCGTGTAGACGTGACGGCAGAGGAGGACCAGTACCAGGACTTGTTGCTCATCATGGAGCTCCTCACCAACCTGCTCTCCAAGGAGTTCATTGACTTCAGTGACACCGGTACTGCCTGCTTCTGCGTGTGCCTTGCCGGGTCTCTCTCCCAAATGATGTGCCATAGTTTGTGTTGGCATGTAAGCTACCACCATTGACAGGATATGCTGCTTTCCTTAGATGAGGTGTTCCGGGGACAGGATCAAGGCCCAGGGGCTGGGCGCTCGGTGTCGGCCGCAGATGTGGTTCTCTATGGGGTCAACATTGTGCTGCCACTGATGTCTCAAGACCTGCTGAAGGTGAGTGTTCAGCCTGTACCTCTCTGTGCACTTGGGTAGTGGTTTGTCCTGGACTGACCAATATTTTTCTTTCAGTAACTAATAGCTTGGGGTCTCTCTCTCTCTCTCTTTCCCAGTTTCCTTCTCTCTGTAACCAGTACTACAAGCTCATCACCTTCATCTGTGAGATATTCCCAGAGAAGATCCCACAGTTACCCGAAGAGCTTTTTAAAAGTTTGATGTTTTCCTTGGAGCTGGGGATGACCTCGTATCCTTCTTTTGGGAGGGGTTAGCATGGTGCTCTGTTGTGGGCCTGGATCATGCTGAATTCAGTTTCAAATTCAAATTGAAAATGTATTTGTCCAGGTGAAATTTCAGGAAGTAAGTTGTATGAAATTTGTCTCTTGAGCGCTTAGGGTAAATGGCCTTGATCAAGGACATAATTGTGAAATTCAGTAATAATCCTTTATTGGCCGTCGCACAAGTATGAGTCCAGGTACATAAGAACTTATCTCTTTGCCAACCCCATCTTGCTCGGGGGTCACAGCACAGGGTCAACCATTGTGCAGTGCCCCTGGAGCTGGGGGTTAAGGGCCTTGCTCAAGGGCCCACAGACATGTGACTGTTCTGTTGAGGCTAAGCCTTGAACCAGCAACCTTCCAATCACAGGCACAGAGACTTAGCCCACTGACCCTCATTTATACAACACTTTTAATATGTAGTTTGCAATTGCCGCTAACTTTGTTCAGCTGGGTAAGGGTTTAGAGTGACTTAACGTGCGTGCTGCAGGATGAGCTCAGAAGTCAGCCAGCTGTGCCTGGAGGCACTGACCCCTCTGGCCGAGCAGTGTGCCAAAAGCCAGGAGACCGACACGCCTCTCTTCATCGCCACACGCCACTTCCTCAAGGTCAGACTCCAGCCCCCTTCCCGTGATAGAGCGTCTGGTTTGCACGCGTGGCCAATACCTCTGTCCCTTTTCTAGCTTGTGTTTGACATGCTGGTGCTGCAGAAACACAACACTGAGATGACGGTGGCAGCTGGAGAGGCGCTCTACACCCTTGTGTGCCTGCATCAGGTATGATGCGGCGCCCTGACACATACATACACTGCGCTGATTGTGCAGTCATGCTGCCTTGATTGCCGTCTTTGCCGATAACGCCTCACCTCTATCCCCATGCAGGCCGAGTACTCGGAGCTGGTGGAGACGCTACTGTCCAGCCAGCGGGATGCGGTGATCTACCAGCGGCTGGCTGATGCCTTCAACAAGCTGAGCGCCAGCAGCACCCCCCCAACCATGGACCGCAAACAGAAGGTGGCCTTCCTCAAGAGCTTGGAGGAGTTCGTGGCCAATGTGGGGGGACTGCTGTGCGTCAAATAACTACTGCCCTTCCTCCAATGACTAGAGACCCCTGCCTCCTTCAGCTCACACCCCTCCTTGCTGCACAACATAACCTATACCATCTTGACCATGGTGTTGAAACCGCCCTGTCGGACTGCAGCGGTGCTGGAGCTGGAAATGGGGAGGCCTTTAAATGGATGCACCCAAAGCCCAGCCTCCCATGTGATAAAGTAACTGGGAGGGCTGCATGGGAGCCATCTTTGTGGTGTCAGCCATCTTCCTCGCTGTAAGACCTCCTGGCCCTCGTTGTCTTTGTTGCTGGAGAGAGTCCTGCCACGCATTCAGAACAGGAAGAATGATGCGCCCAGCCGCTCCAAATTCACATCATCCTCCTCCCTCCCCCTTCCCCGAGTGCCTTTGTTTGCACATTGTTGTCTTAGAGCCAGTGGAAGCTGGAGCTTCACAGGCCATTTTAGCGACATGTGGAGAAGGTTGGCGTGCTGTCTGAGGGGGGGGGGGCAGGGGGAGGGACAGGCTCACACCACCGTGATGACAGGCCCCGGTCTCCGGAAGCCCTGTACTCACTGGCGAGGACAAATAACCAAATCATTCTTCATCTGTTCATCATCAAGGGTGTACATATTTTCACAACAGGGGTGGGAGTTTTTATATGACTGAATGTCAAGAGACATTTATTATTCCAATTTGTTTTTTATTTTTTTGGGGGGTGAGGTGAGGAGCTCCCCCTCCCCTCATTATGCTTTCTTAACCCTAAATGGCTGCTGCTCTGAGGCTGCTTCCTGTCCGTCTCGGTGCTCCAGCGAGGGGTGGGCATAGTTCCCTCACTAGGCAAAGGGCAGTAGATGCTTCAAGGCTCCTGGACTGGAGGGGCTCAGTGACACATGTGGCCCTGGGGCCCCTGGGATGGTGTGTGGGGGAGGGCACATCCCAAGAAAATCACCCATGTCCCCTGAGACGGAAGTCGCACGAGGGCCCGGAAGCTGTGCTTATGCTTTTTTTTTTTAATTATTTTTTTAAACAGCCGTAAACCCAAAATGCAGCAAAGGTGGCAAACCATATTGCAGAAGCAATAATGAACCAAAAAAATAAATCAACACAGAGACTGTAACACCATCTGTTTTAGCTTGGGCATTAGTTTTTTTTTTTTTTTTTTTATTTCTGCCCCTTTCTGATATTTAATGTGGATTGCCAGGAAGAAATGTAAAAGTGTATATAATCTTATATCATACTTTGTGAGTGCAGGTTTTCTGTGAAGTATATGGTATGCCATGCTGTACTTTCCACAGCTGGAGTAATACTTTTTGAGGGAGGGGGGTTCAGTTCACTTCCAAGAATTTATTTTTGTTTGCAAGCAATGAGGGCACAATTTTCAGTACTGAAGTGCACTATGTTGAAGTCCGGTTTTCTCTTCCTGATGCTGCCTTTGTTTGGTTCCAGGTTCTTGTTAGAAAGGAAATACAAACAGATCTTTCACATGCGCTTCAGAGTTATTGTATATTGTTCCACAGACCATGGAGCTTACTGAGTTTCTCTCGTCTGACGTGAACCTTAACCAAAACATCAAATAAAATGCACACACTTTTACATTTATAGACTTTTATCCTGTTGCATTTTCTTTGTGTACATGTGCAGTCCCTGTTAAGTTGCCTTGCATGCTCCTAAATTCAGGTGTCGCAGTAAGTCATCCATTATAGAACCTGCTTTAGCTATTATAGTTGTCTAGGGCCCCCAGATTATCATTCCCGAATCATTCGTTTTTATTTTAGGGGGGCCTCCTAAGTAAAGCTCTGTCTAGGAGCCCTGAAAAGGCAGAGTGGCCTGCTCCACTCTATGTCCTGCTGTGGTCTGTCAGTTCATATGTGTTTGATATGTATGGCTTTAGAGCTGTGTGTGGGTGTGGGTGTGTGGGTGTGTGTGGAGGGGGGGGGGGTTTGCACAGATCACATTTGGGAACCAAAATGTGGTGTAACCTGAAACTTCCTTATATTTGGGGGTATTTTTCAGGTCACCATTTGGATAACCTTATTTTTATTAACAAAAAAAAAAGCCAAAAGACTTATATTCTGTTTGGTTACTTATAGTTAAGGTTAGGGCTGGGCAGGGGTTAAGGTAGTCATGTTGGGATTAGATTTTTTCCATGCGAGGGTATTAAACACACTACCAGAACCAAAATTTGCCCCCACCATTACCTCTGTGTGCTGTCTGTATCCCACCATTATCTACAAGTCTCAAGTCAGCAGTCTCTTGGGCTTTTGTTAATGCATGAGACCAATAACAGTTTAATCAGGTCAACTGTTTCCGATTCCTTGCAGTACATACGCTTTTCCGCAGCACAAAGTTACAGTACTTTTGCTTTTCCATTGACTTCCGGTCGAGTACCAGTACCGAAAGTGCCAAACCAGCTGGGGTACTACTTTGGTACTTCGGTACTTTGGGGTGGGACTTGGAAACATATTTGCTGTCGCAAATAGCCTGCCGCTGAAACACAAAATACAACCGCCATCTTTTGAAACACAGTGAACAGCGAGAAACAAAACAAAAAGCAGTAGAAATAAAAACATAAAAAAGTCAAATGGAAGGATGGATAAATGATGAAACACAGGCTTTAATTGCCATATGGTCGGATGAACAGATCCATCGGGAATTGGATGGCACAACTCGAAATAAAGTATTTGCTAAAATAGCAAGCCGCTTGGAAGAAATGGGGCACACGCGAAACACCGAACAATGCCGATTGAAAATCAAAAAACTTAAGCAGGACTACAGGAAAGTGAAGGATCATAACAGGAGTGGCACGGACAGGAAAACCAACACATCACTGATGATGTCATTTGGCGCCGGTACCAGTTTTTACGCTAGTGGAAAACTGAAACAAAAGTACCACCATACTTTTGGTACTTTTTGGTACCTGGTGCGGTGGAAAAGCACCCTAACTGGTTATAGAATTGTGTTTTAAGGTTTCTAAGTAACTGATTTTTAAAAATTCTAATCTGATACCACTAAAGATTTATATTAATATCTAACTATTAATTGGAAAAAATATGAAAAACAAATACCTATAATTACTAAAATGTTTAATTCTGCACATGGTGTACATTAGTATTAGGCAAGTGTGTATTTTGCTTATATATTTTCTTCTACCTAATAATTTCAGTCCAGATTAATCCCCAATTAAGAATGGACTGTTTAAAAATAGAGCATGCTCAGTATTTGGTCTGAGTACTTTGGAGTAAGATACTTCTCTGTGCAGAATTAAGCAAATTATTACTGTGAAAATGGGCCAAAACAGAAACAAAATGGTAAAGTGTCAGTCAGACGGATGCAAACTTTTAAAACGTCATCACCATACAATCGAGTGTTTAGCGGCCAGTTTTGAAAAATAGGTTTTTTTGTTACTGAATTTGTAATATTTTGATCAGTTATTACATAGTAATTATTCATATGGGGATGGCATATTATTTGTTCAATCTATAGAGCTGGACAATAGCTTTAAAACAATATGAGGACCATTTCTGTGCAGCTTGTATTAAGGTAAATATATCTAGTCAAAATCATAGTCCGTCCCCAAAAAAGTTAAAACTTTGTTCGCTTAAATCTCCCTCAGTATTGATCCAAGACACGCCCAATTTCAGTTTCATGAGTTACTCATGTGACCAAATCAGCATGCCAAGTTTCGTTAAAATCCATGACGATGAGGTCCGAAAGTGTGATTATTTGGCATGGAATGACCCTAGTGTACTGAACTAGCGATACAGACGCTAGACTGGGATCTTGATTTAATTAGTGACTGGGCTGATACCTGGCAGATGGAATTTAAGGTAGACATATGTAAGGTAATCCATGCAGGGAGCAGAGATATAATGTACAGATATTTTATGGGTTCCACTTAGGGCTGTCAATAGATTAAAATAATTAATCGTGATTAATCGCACAACTGTCCATAGTTAATCACAATTTAATCGCAAATTAAATTGTGAATTTATTCAACATTTACCATTAAGAGATTTTTCAGGTGTTAATATTCTTATCAATATTAGAGATGGCATGGCATGATTGCTTTATGCATTTGTATGCATTTATTATTGGAAATCAATTACCAACAATAAACAACAACAAAGATTGTCCAAAGGTCATCAGAATCCCTTCATCACTTAAGAAAAACTCAAACCTAACAGCAGATCAGTACGTTGACCTGCTAAATATTCCATATTACGTAGTCATATAACTAAATATAGATCAGAGGTCGGCAACCTTTTTAAAGCAAAGAGCCATTTTATCCTAAATGTCTGATTTACAAAGATTTACAAAGAGAGAAGGGATAGAGAAGGGGATTTGAGCTACGATTTTTAAAGCGATATTGGTATATATGCATTTAACAGAAAAACAAAACTTCAAGTACAGTGGTACCTCGGTTCTTGAACTTAATCCGTTCCGGACTCCGGATCGAATCCTAAAAAGTTCAAGTTCTGATCAAATTTTTCCCATAAGAAATAATGGAAAACCAATTAATTGG